TTACGTAATTGTTCTTGACGCCGAGTAGTTCTTCGACGGCGTGCATCCTGGAACAACTCACTGTTGGTTTCTGGATCACTCTCCCTTGTCTCTCCCCACCGATCCGAGGCTCAGGCGCCACCTGGTGGCCAACCAGTCTCTCTGCACCCTGCTCGAAGTCGGAACCCTATCCAGGGTCCTCCACATCCTCCAGGGCCGACTCATAGGGCCCCTTGCTGTCAGAATCTGGTGGCAGCTCCAACGGCTCCTGTTGGGCCACAACAGTAATGTAACTTTTGTCCTGCAGCAAATTATCACACAGCAAATTAGCTATGATGAGTTGGTCATAGTGAGTTGGCTACACCATGCTGTACACCTAGCTTCCCAGTTGCTTTGTCTCTAAGAGCAGAGAGGGGGAGCGGGAAGGGAGGGAACAAAGGGAGAGAGAGGGGGGAAAGAGAGAGAAAGAGGGAAGAAAGGAAGGAGAGAGGAGGGAAAGAGAGGGGGAGAGAAGGAAGGAGGGAGGGAGGGAAGAAAAGAGGGAGAGAGAAATGTACTTCACTTTTAAGACACTCATTGCAATTGGCATCTGCTTTGAAATGAATTTCAAAAGCAAATTCTCTCTCATCAAAATGAATGAGAATCGATAGACCAACCACTAGAGAACATCTCTGCCTACTGCTATTGCATTTATAAACCAATTTTTTTCTAAAAAGAGAGAGAGAGAGATCTTATTTCAGTGAAACACTCATACCTCATAAAAGAAGATCCCACTTTCGTTCTTTGTCACAAACCTGACAGGGATCTTAGGCTAAGAATCCCATCAATCTTGGCCATCACCATCCTCCTGAGTACCACAGCTCGAGCTTGTGATTTTCATAACAGGATGTTTTTATGATCATAAAGATGACGTCAGATCCAATGACCTAAACATTGCTAAACAACGTCTTCTCCCTTCGAATTGTGGGAAAGCACTCAAAAGAAATCTGCCCCGCAAAATATGAGAATTTAGGTTCCAATCCTTTGAAAATCATTTTGTGTTGGCCAACTCAATGCACCTTTGTTGAACCTCTACTACTTGGGAAACCTGTGAATTTTTTTGCACAGATTTTAAACTCTCTCTCTCTCCCTATGGGAGAAATAAATCAGGCAGTATTGAATAATATTGACTGCTTTAAAAAATATACCGACTTAACAACCACAGATTTCCCAAGAAATTTACAAGTTTATGTTTTGGTGTGTTTTTTTCTGGCAGACCCTGGTCTTCCATAACATTCTCCAGTACACCAACAAAGATTCAAAGGACTTGCTGGAGGGTATTGGCCTCTGCATGGCCCTTTTTTTCACCGAATTTTCAAAAGTTGTGTTGTGGTCATTGACGTGGGCTATCAACTATCGCACGGCTGTCCGGGCCAAAATTGCTGTGACCACCATCGCTTTTGAGAACCTGTTGACTTGTAAGTCCTTGAAACACAAGTCTTTAAGCAAGGTAAGATTTGGAGGTCACATCCTCATCTGATTTCCCATACATATTTAAATGGCAAAATCTTTCAAAGGAGGATTTACGGTCACAGACCTTATCTGGCTTGGAAAACTGCCAGGCCGATAGCTGCAGAACTTGGCAAGGAGCCTCTGAGAGTCACAAACCAATTAAGCAAACTAATTGTCTACTGCAAACTCCACTCCCCTTTTGCTCCTCTTTTATTTCCTCTGGGTGGGGCCATTCATGATCCACCTGTGGCCTTACTCCCAAGTCGACCCCTGTTCTTTAGCTGTTCCTTTCATCTGGCAACTCTGCATATGTGCCAGAGGTGGGTTGCTGCCAGTTCGGCTAGGATCAGCCAAACTGGTAGTAGTGGTGGCAAGAGGTTCCACCCACCCACCCAGACACTTCTTTTTAACCGGTAGTTAAAAAATTAGCAACCCACCTCTGCTATGCGCACACTGGGAACAGGCTCCAGCTGTTCTTCTGCCTCACTGATGTCTGACTCTGAAGGCAGCTGATAACTGGCATACGGCCCTGGCCCCCACTCTGCCTCCGACACAGAGCCCTCATCAGAGCCTTCCCCAGACTCCAGGACTGGCCCTGGTTCCTCGCCAACCTCCTCACTGTCTGACAATTCTTGCAATAAAATAGAATTAGCTGACCTGGTCAAGTTGTCTATTTAGTCTACCTGGGAAGTTAGACGTTATCCAATGGGTAATGAATGTACATCTTCC